GGGGGGGAGGTGGCCCCCCCCCCCCCCGGTAGTGTGGCGTGTTGTTATTGGTGGGTGTTAGACGTGTCAGTCTCACCCTTATGTAATAATGCGTTAGTGCGTATTCATTATGATCTTTTATGGCCTGTCCTAAGTATTTAATTCTCATTGCTTTAGTTTTGGTTTCTATGTCCTGAAGATTTATGCCTCCATCTAATTGTGTTTGCATAAGCGTTGAGCGCTTGATGTTCCACTTTGTGTTTTTAAAGATGAACTTCTTTATTCTCTGGTTAATAGATTTCAGTGTGTCGGGAGGTATGTTAAAAATATTCCCTACATAGACGAACTTGGTATGATTAGTGTGTTTACTAGGGTGCTGCGTCCAAATATCGTTTTTGTCGAGTACTGGAACCTTTTTACTAACCTAACAATGCTCTTGAACAATCTTGTCACGTGTCAGCACTCCAATCAAACCGACTGAGCTACACTTACTCATCCCCTGTAAGGCTCAAGAAACGAATAGTGCTATAATATAATTGTATACATCTTTGTCTCAGAAACCAAAAAGGAACGAATACTACACGTTCATTTTCAGAAATATTACTTTTTAACTGAAAGAAAATAACATGAACAAGTTAGAGTTTTTATGTTTTTTTAATGAATGAATACATTCTGTATAAAAGCAAGTTAAGGAGTAACAATCAGTGATCAACAGAAACCAGAAAGGGGGGGGGGGGGGGGCCCTTTTTTGGAGGGGGGGAAGCTCTTTAGTGCAGGGGGGAGCAACCATTTTAAAAAAAAACAGCACAGTTGTGGGCCATGAAAAGAAAACCACACTATCATTAAGTACTACAGCTCAATAAAATTATAGGGAGAAATAAGCTATCTAATCTTATTTTAAACAAAATTTGATTCTTAGTTTTTAATCTTGTAACGGTCACACTTTGTTATGTTCAATGACAAAGGCTTCTTGGCAACAAATTCCTTGGGTTTTTGTTTTTTTTTCAGTTTTCCCCCACCTTGTACTGGTACTACATATTTCCTTAGTATTAAAGTTAAAGACAATAAAATTTTCATAAGCTTTGATATTCAAGAATAAATTTAAATTGTACAAACACATGTATTAATGAACTTTTAATTTTTTTTTTTGGCAAAACCAGTCTCCACACTTTAGACGTCCATGTGTGGGTTGGAAATAGGGCTGCCCACCTTTGATAGAGTCTATAAAACAAAACTGATGGTTAATTTATGTTGGTATTGTAAAACTTATGGCTAATTTATGTTTTGTGAAACTGATGGCTAATTTATGCTGGTATTGTAAAACTTATGGCTAATTTATGTTTTGTGAAACTGATGGCTAATTTATGCTGGTATTGTAAAACTGATGGCTAATTTATGTTTTGTGAAACTGATGGCTAACTTATGTGATAGTGATAGGTTAACTAAGTGGTAGTTTTTAATAAGTAATTTAGACATCAAAGCCATCAAATTATGTTCCAGGCATCAGGATACTAGGTTACTCTAATTAATAATTTTAGCTTCTTCAAGAATATGAAAACAAATTGTAAAAGCATCTGATATACATCTAGTCATAGAATCAATAGTTCATATCTAGTCATGGAATCAATGGTTCATATCTAGTCATGGAATCAATGGTTCATATCTAGTCATGGAATCAATGGTTCATATCTAGTCATGGAATCAATGGTTCATATCTAGTCATGGAATCAATGGTTCATATCTAGTCATGGAATCAATGGTTCATATCTAGTCATGGAATCAATGGTTCATATCTAGTCATGGAATCAATGGTTCATATCTAGTCATGGAATCAATGGTTCATATCTAGTCATGGAATCAATGGTTCATATCTAGTCATGGAATCAATGGTTCATATCTAGTCATGGAATCAATGGTTCATATCTAGTCATGGAATCAATGGTTCATATCTAGTCATGGAATCAATGGTTCATATCTAGTCATAGAATCAATGGTTCATATCTAGTCATAGAATCAATGGTTCATATCTAGTCATGGAATCAATGGTTCATATCTAGTCATAGAATCAATGGTTCATATCTAGTCATAGAATCAATGGTTCATATCTAGTCATGGAATCAATGGTTCATATCTAGTCATAGAATCAATGGTTCATATCTAGTCATAGAATCAATGGTTCATAACTAGTCATGGAATCAATGGTTCATATCTAGTCATAGAATCAATGGTTCATAACTAGTCATGGAATCAATGGTTCATATCTAGTCATGGAATCAATGGTTCATATCTAGTCATGGAATCAATGGTTCATATCTAGTCATAGAATCAATGGTTCATAACTAGTCATGGAATCAATGGTTCATATCTAGTCATGGAATCAATGGTTCATATCTAGTCATAGAATCAATCTTTCATATCTAGTCATGGAATCAATGGTTCATAAAATAACATCTATAAAATAACACCTGATATGACAGCTTCACCTCTGTTCAATAAATAAGTAAACATAAAAACACCCGTAACTAAAAACAACACCCAACATGCAACACACCAGCCAACATGTGACACACCAGTCAACATGCAACACACCAGCCAATATGTGACACTAGCCGAAATGTGGCACACCAGCCAATATGTGACACTTCAGCTAACATGTGGCACACCAGCACACATGTCACACATTAGCCAACACATGACACACCAACCAACATTTCACACTTCTGCCAACATATGACACACCCCCAGGCCCCTCACACTTCAGTCAACATGTGACACACCAACCAAAACTCAAGTAATCCGATTGCACAACAAAAAGAAACAATATAATCCTGAGATCAAGGGTGAGATCACTCTCCCTGTTTGTTCAGTAGCATAAATCAGATGCAATGCGGGTGCTTGACCCTTGGAATCAGCCATGGGAAGGAACTGTAATGAATTATTCACTTTGAATTCAACATTAAGACAAATCCACAATATATATTCAATAATTGCTCAACTGAGTTGTGTCAGCTGTTAGTTGGTTCAACCATTACGTTGATACCTTCACACACACACACTCCAAACTCTTTCAGCAGAGCTTTAACTATTGCTGTTTTAAGTTTGGAAATGTCAGATGGACCAATTGATCAGGATCTCCTCATTTTCAACATTAATGGTGAATTTGCATACAAACTTTTCTGCCCCTGTCGCACAACTAGGTAAAATCTAGTTGTGAATAATGCATGCAGTGACTAGATTGGAAAAGTACAGCAATCTGCAAAATTCTCACCATTCATCATAAAATAAATGCAGTCAGAGAAAAAGTGACCTCTGATTTTATTCTAATGCTAAGCACCAGTTATCTATTTTTGGAAAATACTTCATTTCAAGAAAACATTTTTTAGTCCTTACTTGTTTTTGACAACATTACAGTTAATCAGCTGCCCCCAATATAATGTATAGGGTTACTGTACATAATATACAATATTATAAAGCCCCCTATGTGTATTAGGTAAGAGTATAATTTATTCAATGGACTAATGAGGCAACTGGGAGTCTTAGGTTATCTGACATACCCCGGGGCTCAATTAATTGGGATATATGACGCTTTAATATCCTTAGTTCTGAATCAGGAAATACTAATAACTGGAGCAGCCCACAAGCGGCTAAAAAAGGTTCTCTCCCCTATGAGTCCCAGATTAAGAGCGATCTGCTGTATGACTTTATATATAAACTGTAATAGGGCCATATTGACCTTGGTATTCTACATTCATTTTATATTCTACAAGTGTTATGTTACGTACTGTTACATAAACTATAACATATTAATCCCAGTGTCAATAGAGACTGTTCATGAGTTAACCACTTATATAAACTAGAAAACATGACTTGAACTTATTGGGATATGCCAAGAAAGTTCACACCCTGAAACTCAAGAGACCTTAAAATCAAGGATCAGATATTTTATTAATGGTTAACATTGGACGACGATAAGAATATGGCGACGCTCTTGCCGACATATTTCCAACACAGACTAAAAATTGCAAATTTTTTAATTTAAAAAAAGATAGATAAATTATTACCAATAAATTTGGTGAATAACTTAACTCACAATTAGCTTTGAAAGATTTGCAATATCTTAAGACAATTAGATAATATTATGTGGATATTTCTTTTAGTAATATATAGAAAGAAATATCTTTGATCACATGTAACAGCTGCTCAGCAACACCTATATTTATATATTCTATTTTTTTTTTAAATTATGAGTACAAAACAGTGGTTATTTATGGTATAGATGCATGTAGAACAATTCTTGTAACTTCCATAGATGTTGCTATTCTCATGGGGATCCCCCAATACTGTGTGCCTTGGGAGACATAAACGTATCTTCCTTTTCCACCGTACTCGTACAAGCCAGCATAAAATGGGTTCAGTAAGTAAGCTCCAATAATCATAGGAAATATTTGGCCTCCATGCGTATGACCTTCAGGAGAAAAATAGCATTTTCTAGAAATTACTTCCTAAAATATTTTGTACAAGGCATCTAGGTTTGCAGATACACCAAATTAAAGTCAAATGTTTCAGCACAAATTATTCCAATATTTGAACTTTAAAAAAAAAGGATTTTCTGTAGATTATTATTATAATTATAACATGAGATGAAAGGGGTTAATATCCTGAGATGACAAGACTTAAGCTCATGAGATGACAAGACTTAATCTCATGAGATGACAAGACTTAATCTCATGAGATTACAAGACTTAATCTCATGAGATGACAGGACTTAATCTCATGCGATGATAAGACTTAATCTCATGAGATGACAAGCTTTAATCTCATGCCATGACAAGACTTAATCTCATGAGATGACAAGACTTAATCTCATGAGATGACAAGACTTAATCTCATGAGATGACACGACTTAATCTCATGAGATGACAAGACTTAATCTCATGAGATGACAGGACTTAATCTCATGAGATGACAAGACTTATTCTCATGAGATGACAAGACTTTATCTCATGAGATGACAAGACTTAATCTCATGAGATGACAAGACTTAATCTCATGAGATGACAAGACTTAATCTCATGAGATGACAAGACTTAATCTCATGAGATGACAAGACTTAATCTCATGAGATGACAGAACTTAATCTCATACGATGACAAGACTTAATCTCATGAGATGACAAGACTTAATCTCATGAGATGACAAGCTTTAATCTCATGCGATGACAATACTTAATCTCATGAGATGACAAGACTTAATCTCATGAGATGACAAGACTTAATCTCATGAGATGACAAGACTCATAAGATGAAAAGGGTGAATTTACTGGTGACTTAAAATTAATACACAAGCTAGAATGGCACTGTATAATTTCCAAAGAATATTAGCTCAACAATTACTAGACTTACCAGACAGAACAAGATCTATTCTGTATTTTGAGTCCAGAGCAATTTTTGCTGCAGCAGGTTGGTGAGCCAAAAGAATGACTGGCCGTTCTTGAGAACACGAACCAACAGCACTCCCCAGGTCAAACTTGTGATCACCATACCTTGGTTAATAAAAGATCCCATTAAAATCGATAGTGTTTATTCTTGTGGTCAGCAGGAAGTACTTTTTACATTTCTTAACTTTTTTTTTTTTTAACAACAGTTTATAGATAAACAGTTCACAAACAAAACAGAATTTGATAAAATTTTTGTATTATTTAGTTTGTATCCACTGTCAAATATCTCTCATTATGTGGCTATTTCACCTGTCTGATGTTAAATTTAAGGTGTGTGAATAAAAATGTACTGCTTGGATCAGTATGTAGCATAATATTGATTTCATACTTTCTCTGATGATGGAAAACTAATAATTTTATATTCATGAAAGGGTTTATTTCTCCCCACTCAAGTGAAATTATTTGATTCGAAAATATCTTCATTATACCATTTTAACTTATGATAAGTTCACAGTTTTAGACAAACATTATGCTAAGTCTGGATTGCAGACATTAGGCTAAGCTTGGATTACATGCATTAGGCTAATCATGGATCACAGACTTTAGGCTAAGCATGGATTACAAACATTATGCTAAATATGGATTACAAATATTAGGCTAAACATGGATGAGGAACATTAGGCTAAGCATTGATTACAGCTGTGAAATACAGACACATTTAAGTTAGTTTTGAATAGAATATTTATATCATATGAAATTGAGCAATAGTTCATTCCAGACCTACCCTATTTTATCTGCCTGAACATCATCTGTTCCAGCCAGACATATCTGACCTTCTGTTTCAGACACTTGACTGGGTATGACAACATGACTGTTGTGCAGGACAGTGAAGCCAAGGCTGGAGATAACTTGGAACCAATTGTCAACATCCCCAGTGTAGTATTCATGATTACCTGTTAAATAGGATTACACATAGAGAATGGTCATGCAAAAAAATTTACTTATTTGTCTCTGGTATAAATACCGTACATCAACAAGAATTATATTTGCTTTCTTATGTATTTTTTAATTTTTCATCTGACATTGTTTTTCTTAAAGATCTGAAGTAGATATTTCAAATCCCTGAACAATTAACTATTGCCATATTATAAATTATATTGTTTGAATATTTAAATTTCTATAAAATTTATTTTAATTTAAATAAATTTGTGTGCAACATTTTACAGAGAGATTTACCAAAGAAGTCTGATGTAATTAGCCGCTATTAGATAATTCAAATCAATAACTAAAATACAGATTAGATCATTCAAATCAATAACTAAAATACAGATTAGATCATTCAAATCAATAACTAAAATACAGATTAGATCATTTAAATCAATAACTAAAATACAGATTAGATCATTCAAATCAATAACTAAAATACAGATTAGATCATTCAAATCAATAACTAAAATACAGATTGGATCATTCAAATCAATAACTAAAATACAGTTTAAATCATTCAAATCAATAACTAAAATACAGATTAGATCATTCAAATCAATAACTAAAATACAGATTAGATCATTCAAATCAATAACTAAAATACTGATTAGATCATTCAAATCAACAACTAAAATACAGATTAGATCATTCAAATCAACAACTAAAATACAGATTAGATCATTCAAATCAACAACTAAAATACAGATTAAATCTGACAATTGTGTATACCTGTTGCAAAGAAGTTTCCATATTTTGATCTAACAGAACCAAGTGGGGTTGCTGCCCCTCCCAGTCGTTGAACCGAACTATCCACCAAATCTCCTGTCAGTACGACAATATCTGTGGACATAATAATTATACTCTCCACAATTAAGTGTTATATGAACCAAACCAGATGCTAATGATAATATGTTAGCTCATATAAATTTAGGTGGGTTGTGTTGTATAGGATGGTTTTGATTCTGGACCTATGAGCTATTCATGTTCAGCCAAATACATGACAGTTTTGGAATTGAAAGTGTGATAATGTTCTCCTTGAATATAGGCTGACATTCAGTTGCAGTCAGAATTATTAAGGGGTCATCCATATATTATGTATGCTCTGAGAAGTAGCGAGGAGGGGTTTGTATGGATGTCTCTGGTGAGAGGTCTCAGCATAATATGTGTATATGCAAATATGCATAAATCCTACAATAATCAATTTGAAATTCTGACAATCTATACAAAGAATATTAAAATTTTATAAATATCTAATAAGGATAACTGTCACCTAAAAATCTATGAACGTGATTTCTAATTACTGTATTGTTCTGAGTGTAGGATAACGGCCAACAATGGAGATGTTAAAAAAACATAAAAATATAAATACTGGTATATGCGAACAACCATAAGAAATATCAAGTTAAGAATGTGGTTATTAATCAGGAGCGGCCTCATAATCAGAACAACATGGTATATTCAAAGGCTATAAAATTAATTATCGTCGTACAAATGCTTTGAGTTTTCACAAATGAACTATCCAGATATCGCAACAGTAATATTGAGCCCGGTAACATGTTACTCCACCATATGTTTCTTTGCACAATTTTTGACCTAATTATTTTGTTCAGCTGAACCAAAGATTATATTTAGAATGTAGAAAAATCACCATGACAAACAGGCAAGGGGAGAAAAGTCAGTTACAATTTTATTATATGTTACAGTGACTTTGTAAAATGGTCTTTTACTTATGCATCAAAATTTTCAAAAACCATAATTAGGGATTTGGATCAGGGGTTTTTGGTCCGAGGTCTGCTCCAGAAAAATCACTGTCAGCAAAAATTAAAAGGGGGGGTAGGGTGGTTGAAGGGGGCTGCTAAGTGTTAAAAGAAATGTGTTTATCATTGTCACTTAACCATCTCATTCAATAGGCATTAGAAAATAAAAATGCTTGTATCAGCAACTTAAAAGGTAGAGGTGTATGGCAACACAGCTGGTAGAAAAGTGAGGTAACAAAGATTTAAAATAGTGGGGCAACACAGCTGATAGATGAGTGCGGCAACATTACTGGTAGAAGAGTAGGGCAAAAAAGTTGGTAGAAGAGTGGGGCAACATAGCTGGTAGAAACTTGGGGGCAAAAAAGCTGGATGAAGAATAGGGCAACATCGATGTGCTGTAATATAGCTGTTAAAAAAATGGGTCAACGGAGCTGTAAAAGGGTGGGGCAACGTAGCTGCCAGAAGAGAGGGGCAATAAAGATAAAAAAGAGTGGGGCATTATAACTTGCAGAAGAGTGGGGGCAACATAGTTGGTAGAATGATAGGGCATCAACTTAAATAAATTAACTTTTAAAAATTACAAAGTACAAACTTATGTTTTTCAATCAATTTATTCAAATTTTGGAGTTTAAAGCACCAAGAAATTTATAGCTCTGAGCTCTGCTCTAAATCACGACTTTTTTTTTTTTTAAATGCTTTTATTTTGTTTTTTGGGGGGAGGGTGGTGTGAGAGGCTCATTTGAACAAATCATAGGGAGGGAGGGCGGTCAAAAAATGAATGGTTGCAAGAGGGAGTAGGGGAGGGGCGGTCAAAAAATGTATGGTTGCAAGAGGGAGTAGAAGGATATGGCTTGACAAGTAAATAGTTTTAAATATACATTTGTTTTGGTTTACGGTATTTAATTAATGTATGTTAATTAATTTTTTAAGTTTTTGATTATGTTTGTTAAATTGTATGTACAGCGTGGTGAGCCCAACCATAGGCTGGGATACCACACTATATAAAATCACTTATAATAATAATATGAAACTATGATTTTTTTCCATACATAATATCTATGGACCATAGAACCGATGGCCCCAGCTGATATTAGTTGCTTATTATTTTTTAAAGCCAAAGACCAGTGTCATCAAGCTGTCCCCGCAGATAATAGATATAAGCTATATTATATTATTATATAGTATATATCATTTTGTTTCATGTGTAGCCAGTATGTTGTTGATTCTAAAAAAAATGACACAAGCTTTAGTGTACAGGTGCAGTAATATTGTGTTTCATTAAACATTTACCTGGCTTAATTCCATTAACAATTTCAACAATCTTTTCTAGCTTAACGAATCCAACAGTTGGTCCCAAATGTATATCACTGAGTTGAACGATGCTTAATCCCTCCAGGTTCTTAGGCAAATTATGGATTGAAATTTCAACATTTGATACCACTGGTGGCTGTGAAGCCTTATATAAACCTAAGCTAGAGGCACATAACATATAGACAAGTGAAAACACAGCAACTTTTTTTCTAGTGAGCTGACAGTTAATGTGTATATGTCTGCTTGATAATTTCAATATATAAGAGAGCGACTTGAACATTAATAAGCCAGTGTTGAGTTGGATAAAAGATCCTAGACAAGCATAGGTAAGCATGCTAAACCAGTGAGGATCTTTTGAAATTAAAAATAAATTTGTGAAATAACTGACATGACATACTCCTAAATAAAAAAGCAAAATTAGTTTCCACAAAAATGAGATTGACAATGTTGACGATGATGCAGTTTCTCTTCTGTCAAATGTTGAAAGATCAATGTCAGAATTCTTGCTCTTCTTTCTTAATTGTCCCCTACCAAACAGTCCTGCACTGGTTAAATCACCGTTTCCATTTGAATTTGAAGCAAAACTTTCATGAAGATAGCTAGCGTCGAAAATATATGCTGTAGTTCTCCAAATCAGAAAAGAAAACAGGAAAATAACTGTCTCCATAATCACAACAAAATTAGCTCTCATAACAATTGCTTTTGTTTGGAAGCTACTTTGGGATAGTATGATTATCTGACCGCATACCACAGCACAAATAATGCCAAGGCCTATAAGTAATTTTTTACTGGTTGAATAAGCCATTATTCTATTTTTCATTGACTAAATTGACTAAATAAAGGCAAACTTAGATAATGACTCCAGTCATTCACATCATAACTGTGACACAGATTTGGTGTACTCTAATAACCGAGATAATTGCTACAGCTGCATAATTGTTCTTCAGCAAGTGTTTTGGTGGGTTTTTTTACGCTCTTTCTGGCTTAAATGGATGAATATTATATATAAAAGCATAAAAATAAAAATAAAGATTTTCCTATTTCTTATATTCTGTTCAGATTATCATGTCAATGGGTAACGTCATAATAATAATAGTAATTAGCATAGTATGTTGAGACTGCGTTCATTATAGGCTTAGACTATAGACTAAAGAAGGAACAATAAGGAATAATAATACTAAGACTTACGTGTTTATGAAGCGAGCATTACACAGAACGTAACTAATTCATAAACACATGCCTTAGAAGGATCCTGAACATCAAATCGCCAAATATTATCACCAACAGCTCTACTAGAAAGGACTCACCAGGTGCCCAACGACGAAGACATCTTAAAGAAAAGATGGAGGTGGTTAGGGCATACTCTCCGAAAACCCCCAAATAGCATCACCAGACAATCCCTAGCTCGGAATGCACAGGGAAAAAGGAAGAGAGGAAGGACAAAGTATACCAAGCGTTTTAATACTTTATTTTATTTAATGAAACCATAATTTACAATAAGTATTTGGGTGATAGGCTTCATGTCGTCAAAGTGGGTGGTAGACCTACGTGTTGTCAAAGTGGGTGGTAGACCTACATATTGTCAAAGTGGAGAGTAGGACTACATGTTGTCAAAGTGGGTGGTAGACCTACATGTTGTCAAAGTGGAGGGTAGGACTACATGTTGTCAAAGTGGGTGGTAGACCTACATATTGTCAAAGTGGGTGGTACTGGTAGGTCTACGTGTCGTCAAAGTGGGTAGTAGGTCTACATGTTATCAAAGTGGGTGGTGGGCCTACGTGTTGTCAAAGTGGGTGGTAGGCCTACGTGTTGTCAAAGTGGGTGGTAGGCCTACGTGTTGTCAAAGTGGGTCGTAGGCCTATGTGTTGTCAAAATGGGTGGTAGGCCTACATGTTGTCAAAGTGGGTGGTAGGCCTACGTGTTGTCAAAGTGGGTGGTAGGCCTACGTGTTGTCAAAATAAGTGGTAGGCCTTTGTGTTGTCAAAATAAGTGGTAGGCCTACATGTTGTCAAAGTGGGTAGTAGGCCTATGTGTTGTCAAAATGGGTGGTAGGCCTACATGTTGTCAAAGTGGGTAGTAGGCCTATGTGTTGTCAAAGTGGGTGGTAGAGGCCTACGTGTTGTCAAAATGGGTGATAGGCCTACATGTTGTCAAAGTGGGTAGTAGGCCTATGTGATGTCAAAATGGGTGGTAGGCCTACATGTTGTCAAAGGGTGTAGTAGGCATATGTGTTGTCAAAATGGGTGGTAGGCCTACATGTTGTCAAAATGGGTGGTAGGCCTACATGTTGTCAAAGTGGGTGGTAGGCCTATGTGTTGTCGAAATGGGTGGTAGGCCTACATGTTGTCAAAGTGGGTAGTAGGCTACGTGTTGTCAAAATGGGTGGTAGGCCTACATGTCGTGAAAGTGGGTGGTAGGCTTACATGTCGTGAAAGTTGGTGGTAGGCCTATGTGTTGTCGAAATGGGTAGTAGGCCTACGTGTTGTCAAAGTGGGTGGTAGGCCTACGCCTACGTGCCTAGATGTTTCCAAAGTCGGTGGTTCATGTCGTCAAAAACTGTTTTGTATGGGAATTCTCAAAGTAGCGAACGGGACTAGCATCACTCTCGTAGGAAATTACTCATTTTTATACGTTACCACGACATTATCAAATATTATTTCACTCTACTGCATTCGAATGGGTCCATCCACAATGACGTCATGCTATTTTGGTCGATTTCAGATCTCTCTCCACCATCAACACAAAGTTGTCACACAATCTCGACACCTTATTAATGCATCGTAAATATTTCGTGAATCCCATCCACACCCCCAACCCCACCCCACCCCCAACCTATTTTTTTGCTTTTTCTTAGCAAAGTCAATTTCTTTAGAAGAATCAAGTTCTGAGACAGAGAATAAATGTTTATAGTAAAAGCACTTGGTGGGGGCCTACAATCACACTAGAGAGGGGAATCGAACCTGAGCCGAGCACATCAAATTCGAGCCCTGCTGACGACCGAACAGACCATGAACTTTAACCCTCTGAGTACGAACCAACCCGAACGTTCTACCAATAACTTATAAGAACCCGCAATGTTTTTTTTTACGAATTTGGCAAGTCACTACTTATCGTCAGAAATGCTTAGACTACAAACACAAAATCCAATAATTGCAAAACGATATGTTTAAACCAATTTGACATTTATTTATTTTTTAAATCCTCCCCGTCCCAGCTCTCCCCCGTCAACACCCTTTCGCCCATGGCCGGCCCATGGGTTTGATTTTGTATTGATGTGTGACGAATTAAAACAATAACACTGTGCCTCTTCTTCCTCCAGTGCCAGAAACATGTTCAAAACAGCTAGAATTTTTTTTGTTCCGTTCACACGCTTAAATTTTCGTCAAATTTATTTTTTGATCGCACTATACTATATAGTAAAACAAAATAATGCGTTCAAAAAGAAATCAGAAGCACAATTTTAACGTAAAACCTGGAGAAAAAAAAGATTCGACCCGATTTCCGTTCGATCAAATTACCGTCGATCATTTTACCGTTGACGTAATTTCTTTCGAACAAATTTCCGGATACGATCTCTTCGAGATGAATCTCGGAAAAGACCTCTGGGCGCATGTTAAGCAGATGAAAGGGGATTATCAGGGAATTTTATACTGTATATAGACCCGTTAACCTTTTGTTCAGCCTTCATCACACGACAAGAAGACGAATGATGTTTACATTTGTTTCGTAGCGAGTGAACAAAATCCGTTATGACGCGCCCCATTATGACTCAGCAAGGCCCCAGTACGACTGTAACGTGTCTTAATATTCTATCAGCGGAACATATAACACCAACGGCCCCCTAAAATACAATTTGCCCAAGGCCCCGCACCCTCCTAGCGCCGGCCCTGAGTGAACCTAATTAAATCGTTTACTTCACTTTGTGCTTTTGTCTGTCTCGACGTTGTCAACTTTTGTCTGTCTCCATGTTTTGGTTTTGTCAGTCCCAACGTTGTGCTTTTGTCTGTCTCGACGTTGTGCTTTTGTCTGTCTCGACGTTGTGCTTTTGTCTGTCTCAACGTTGTCAACTTTTGTCTGTCTCCATGTTTTGGTTTTGTCAGTCCCAACGTTGTGCTTTTGTCTGTCTCGACGTTGTCAACTTTTGTCTGTCTCCATGTTTTGGTTTTGTCAGTCCCAACGTTGTGCTTTTGTCTGTCTCGACGTTGTGCTTTTGTCTGTCTCGGCGTTGTGCTTTTGTCCGTCTCGACGTTGTGCTTTTGTCTGTCTCAACGTTGTGCTTTTGTCTGTCTCCATGTTTTGGTTTTGTCAGTCCCAACGTTGTGCTTTTGTCTGTCGTAACGCCGAGAAACCAAAAATATGAAATAAATCACAGAGAGTGGCGTTCATGTTTTGATTACTACCACGTCATAATAGTTTTTGATAATTTGAGACACCGAGCCCTCCTCCGTAACACCCTCTCTGTCACAAAGCTGTCTGATCAACTTTTAATCGTAAGAATTTAACCTGTCAAATTTTTATTTATTTTTTTATTTTTTTTTTAGGATTAGGCCTACAATCCTTTAGAATTACTTCTTAAAAAATATTGGGGCTCCCTTCTCGGTTTCTTTAAAAAGTATTATGCCTTTCCTTTATTGAAATATTTGATCTTAGTAGAGATTTGCCGAATCCTAACATAACATAAAGCCCCCTGAATCTTACCTTTAATTTTAAGTTTCGATTCCCCCCGCCCCCCAAACCAAAACCCGACTATGTTCACTTCCCTATGGAAGTTCCCAAGGCAGAGGTTTCTCCATCTTTTACTTATATTTTACTTCTGGTGAGTCTTACTCCCCCCCCCC